CCGACCGACTCAAAACCAGTGAGGTCGGCCGCAGCGGCAGAGGCGACAGAGGGCAGCAGGGGCGAAGGACCACACCCCTCAAAGATGGGGGTGCGAGGGTCACCCCGAGAGGCCCCTACAGCGACAATACTCTTCTCAGCCGCTAGCAGGGACTCCTCAAGGAGGTCGACAGTGAGAGTGGTGGGACAGACAGAGAGAAACTGGTCCCTAACGACACGAAGGGACTCAGGGAGACGGGTGACGAGAAAGTAGAGGGTGATGTACATGGGAGGAGGGTTCGCAGCGCGGAACTCAGCAGGAAGGGCAGCGCGGTAGCGGGTGTCACTAGCACGGAGGTGGGTAACGAGGTCAGCGACAGTGGGAAAGGAAGCGAGGTCAGGGAAGAGAAACGGTAGCATGAGGCGGCTAAGGGTAGCGGAGGAAGGGGAGGAGTAGCGTGCAACTACAGCGTCGTACAAGGCCTGAGCGGTCTTGCACTGACTAAAGTGGGCACGCTCAGAGGAAGGGAGGTGGCGACGCACAGCAAGACGTGCAGCAGCATCGCGGGTCGCCCACTTGGAGCGAACGGCAGAGTCAGCATCAGCAGGTGGGGCAGGAACAGCGCCAGAGACAAAGTCAAAAAGAGAGACCTCATCTATCGCATCACACAGTAAGTACAGCTGCAGGTCTTCGATCCAGACGGCAAAGTCAATGGCCCTTCCCTCAGCGTCAAAAGTAAGAACATTGGGGGTGGCCATGGCTGCAGCTGAAAGTCTCACCGGGCTGGGAGAGTCGGGTAGGTCAGCAGCAGAAGAACACAGCTCAGGAACAGCAGGACGGCGGCTCGGGCGGCTCGGGCGGCTCGGGCGGCTCGGGCGGTCCGGGCGGCTCGGGCGGCGGCTCGGTCGCAGCTCAGCGGCGGCTCGGGCGGCGGCGGCTCGGCGGCGGCTCGGCTGCTGCTGGGCGGCTCGGCGGCGGCTCGGGCGGCTACGGCTCGGCGGCTCGGCGGCGGCCCGGGCGGCGGCTCAGGCGGCGGCGGCTCGGCGGCGGCGCGGCTGCTGCTGGGCGGCTCGGCGGGGTCGCGGAGCAGAGGGCGGCGGTGCCGCGTAGAAGAGGGCGGCAGGGCCGCGATCGAGGGGCGGCGGGGCCGCGTAGCAGAGGGCGGCGGGGCCGCGTAGCAGATGGCGGCGGGGCCGCGTAGCAGAGGGCGGCAGGGCCGCGTAGCAGAGGGCGGCGGGGCCGCGTAGCTGAGAGCGGCGGGGCCGCGACGTAGGGCGGCGGGCGGGCCGTCGAAGTAGGGCGGCGGGCGGGCCGGGACGTAGGGCGGCGGGGCCGCGACGTAGGGCGGTGGGCGGGCCGTCGAAGTAGGGCGGCGGGCGGGCCGGGACGTAGGGCGGCGGGGCCGCGTCGTAGGGCGGCGGGTGGGCCGTCGAAGTAGGGCGGCGGGCCACGACGTAGGGCGGCGGGGCCGTCGAAGTAGGGCGGCGGGCAGGCCGCGACTTAGGGCGGCGGGGCCGCGCGATAGGGCGGCGGGGCCGCAAGGTAGGGCGGCTCGACAGGCCGCTAGGGAGGGCGACACGACGGGTCGCTAAAAAAAAGGACGCGCGCCTCGGGGCGCGCTTCGGTGGGCCCAAGAAACAGTCCCTAGGAGGGGACCTGCTCTGATTCCATGTGGAAGAGAGAACGAGAATGAAATGACTATGAACGAAGTGAGTACAAATAGGAAACCCTAATTGGGTTGTACCCCTTATGGGATACCCCACTATAGCCTACACAAATAAGTAAGCTATAATGTTCTGACACACATTGCTCTCCGCTACTTTCTTGCTCGTGAGCTACAGCAGCGTGGACGGTTGCGACTTGCGTACGTGGCCTCTGAGGCCAACACTGCTGAGGTCTTCACCAAGGCACTTGTGCCTTGTGATCATCAGCGCTTCTGCACGCAGCTGGGTCTTGTGCCTGTCTTGCCTCACTTGCTCACTTCTTGACCTTGCTTGTACTTTCACATATATATACTCTTGCTCTTGCTTGCTTAGACTCTTGTATATCTATATATGTGATCTTGCATGTGAACTGGCCTTCTGGCCTTTGAACTTGTGCTCGGAATGTGTGGTGACTTTGTGATCCACCCTGAGCTTTGCTTTGCCTTGCTTGACTGGTCTTGTGACCCCTTGTTCTCCCCCACTTTGCCTATGGGGGTGTGTCAGAACATTATAGCTTACTTATTTGTGTAGGCTATAGTGGGGTATCCCATAGGGGGTACAACTAGATTAGGGTTTCCTATTTGTACTCACTTCGTTCATAGTCATTCCATTCTCGTTCACTTCTTCTCAAGTCCGGCTCCAGATGCTCATCGCAATCATCGCTCAAGTAGCCATCCTCATCGTCAACTGGCAGCGCGTCATCTCCGTTGTCCACACTTTCTTCAGCAGTGACCTCCGTGCGCGCCTCTTCTTCATTGTCATTGACCACATTTTCCCCCGTAGGCTCTTTCTCGCCAGATCCGCCATCCTTGTCAGCTTCGCTCGGCAGGTCCAGGAGAGCTTCAAACGGACCATGCACAGACGCGGATGTTGAGCCAACGGGAGTCCGTCCCTTGCCGTCAGATTCCTTCGCAGGTACTTCAGGAACATCATGCTCGTCTTTGTTCTCAACGTTGTTGTCATGCTTCTTGCTGCTCTTGCCGTTGCGTCCCTTCCCCATGGTGCGATGATGATAATGACAGCTTAAGAGCCAGGCAAAGGCTGATGAAGAAGTTGTTCTGAGCACATTTGCTGACTTTGCTGTTGGCTTATATTTCCTGTGCTTGAAGGAGAAACGTTGCAGGTCCAGGCCTGATGAAATCGTTGGCGCCATGGAAGTTGTCGTCCAGCTTCGATCATAGCTTTCCGCGGGAAACCTTGAGCATTGCCTAGCCTGTGTATTGATCCTAACGCGGGTTGACAGCAGAGAAGGTTGTTGAACGTGGTAGGATCCATGTTGTGGCTTAAAACTCCCCCTTGGTAAATGTGTTGAAACCTGTCTTGTTAGGCGTAACAATAGTGACAGCCTGGAACTCAAGAAAAGTGTATTTAGGTTCCCGTAATAAACACTAAAAGGACACCGTTGTGTAGAGCTTAAAGTCGTGCATCGCTTGGGTGAGCCGAAACAAGATTCAGACTGGAAATTGATACACATTGGTGGAGTTAAAGCTCGCGGCCCAAATTGTTCAACCTCAGTAAGGTTGACCTTTGGGTGGTGGGAGAAGAAGTTGACTTGTTGGGAGTTGGGTTGTTTACTTTCGCCCAGTTTCGCGCTAGACCCTTGGTGTTTTCGTTGACACGGCAAACCCCTAGGAGCAACATGGGTTTGCTTCGAGAGTCCCAAATTGCAATCAACATATTGTTGTTCTCTGCTCTCCCATTCGACAAAAAAAAAACTGGCCAATCAGATTGCATCTCACTTCTCGTAACCACCCTTCGCAACCCAAACAGCTCTCAAAACATGACCCCCGTCAACCTTAGTAAGCTTGGCCAGCGCGCCCCGCAATTTGGGCCGCGAGCTTTTAAGCTCTCCGCCGTGGCCATGGCCGCATTGTCATTGCCATTGCCTTGGACACTAAAGGTTGTGTTATGCATCGAAGAAAGTAGACGATGGATCGTCAGTCGCGATCGATGTGCGGATCGGTTACCCTATTTATGACGCTGTAACTATGTTATAGTACGCTTTTTTGGTAAATTTTCTGTATAGTGTGCGAATGCGACTGATCACTGATCGCGGGAGATCGTCAATTCTAAAGGGGCGATCGTTACAACGTCGCGGTCGCCACGTTTCGCCAATCGATCTGCCCACTCGATTTTGGGGCTCGATGTTTGAAGACGATCCTGCGAGATTTGCACTTGCACCGCGTCCCAAGTGTTTCTTGACGTCGCTACACCATCGCATGGTGCTCGACGTTGATCCCCCCCACCAGCAGGGCAATGGCCTTCACGCAGCATTGACCTAGCGTGAATGCCCCAACCAGACTCATATTGAGAGACGCCGTAGACTTTGACCAGCTCCGCCAAGAAGCGTGCAAGACTCCGGACGAGCTGGACCTCGCCCACTCCCACAGCGTGCTGGAACGCCATGTCAGCGCTCACAATTGAGCAGACACCTTCCCTAACGGAGCGCGCGGTGCACTCACATTTCTCCAAACCCACTCCCCTGCAGGAACAATTCAAGATAAATCCGCTGGGCCTCATTCCCTTACTCACACCTGTCCAATCCCTCCCTTTTCTTGTCCTCGTATTCTACCGCCTCTGCACCCAAGTTCCCAGTATCGCATTTGACGAACTCCGCAAGAGCTCAATTGAAATTCCCGAGAAGTTGTTCCCGCGGAACGCGCCACTATAGCACGGTATTTTGTTATTATTCTTCCAAAACAGTTGCTGTTGTGACATCGCACTGTTAACAAGCCGGAATCAGTGTCCGTCCGCAATTTCTAAGAATAGTCGCAAGTTCGAAATGGCTGCGCAGCAGGCTCCGAACATGCAGGGCATGAGTTTCAACGCCGCGCCACCACCCCAGTTCACCGCGCCACCACCCCAGTTCGCCGCGCCACCACCCCAGTACGCCGCCACAGGGCCAGCCCCAGCGCCGAACAATCCGGGATGTTGCTGCGATAATAACAAGCGGTCTCCGCTGTACACGTGGCTCCCTTTCGGCCTCCGCATCGGCATCTTCCTTTTCTGCCTCGTCTCTTTCAGGTGCGCTCACATCTTCATGCGTGTCGCTCATCGTCAATTCGCTTGCGCTCGAAGTCAGCACACCTGAGCTCGATTTCTCTTCCCGTTTCCAGAAGCTCGAGCTGACTGCACAAGCAAATAAATGCGTTCTCTCACAACACATACGTGTATTTAAATATTTTCCTTTTTCTTCTTGGTTCCTGTATCCTTGTTACATCCGCAGTCTGTGCTTCGCCACCAAGGAGGCGGTGACAGGGTACGCCGCGGGCGCGTTTCTGGTGGGCGTCACCATTCTGGGGTTCATATTTGGCGCTTATGCTCTTCATCTACAACGCCGTGCGCATGTGCGTCGCGGGCTCCGAGGCGTACGACGCCGTGATGGACCTCGTGCAGTTCTTTGAGACCTACGTGAGTCCCTCCATACTCAAGAGCCGCGCGAGCAGTGCAGTTTTTTAAAACCTGCTGAGAGTGCTATGCGAGCTTCCAAAACGGGGATATCACTCTGTGTTGAGTCATCGTAATCTACAGTGTCTCCCGCATACTCGTCGCGCGCTCCTGCTAGCTTTGTGATGAGATACGAAAAAGCACCTATTAAGTTACTTGCCTGTGCGTCATTCTTGTTCTCTTTTGAACGTTTCTCGTTTTTTTTAAAGGTTGCATTACTTCTCCCCTGGTTGACAGATTATGTCACTCCTTCTGTTCGCCGCCGCCACGTCCGCAGCAGCTGCGTGCAACATGTGGTGGAATGCCAGCAACTTGAACAGGTACGTACGCAAGACACGTGCTATGACCGTCTAGTATGTCCATGTAGCATCTCTGCTCTGCACAAGTGGGCAACGTATGATTTCTGCATAATTTCATGCCATATTGGATTTCTGTTTTTCACATGTCCATTTCTGCTTACCCATCTCCATTCTTTCACAGTGCGATGAGTGGCAATCTCAGTGATAATGAGATCAAGAACCTGTTGTTCACATTTAGCATGAGCAACACAGTCACTTCACAACTGAGTTACGGAGCTCTTCTTAAGCAAATCGTGGATGATGCTAATGCGAATGTGAGCAAGGTGCGTGGGGCATGTGCGATGGCATATTTCGCGGCCTTCATCTACATCGCCATGTTCTGGTATTACATCATCCGCATCCACAAGCGCGGCATGCTCAAGGCCATTGCTGACGCCGCTGTGCCGCCAGCAGACAAGGCCAACGTGCCTCCTTACAACGTGTGAAAGCTGTAAACTCTTTGCAGGACATGCCATAATGTAGACAGTTTCCTGCTTTTTGTAATGGAATGTGTTAGTGGACTTGAGGTCGGGGTGTGGGGTTGCTTGTTGTTAGTGCGCACCAGGATGGGTTTCTTAGTGGCTGCACCTGGTGAATGTCACATCCTCAAAGGGTAGCAGAGCTTGTACATGCTCATCAGGGCCCACTGGGGTTCCTCTGCCTCCTCTGTTGTGCTATTTATTCGCTGGTTAGCTGTGGTTTTCCAAAGTGTTATGTACACGTGCAATAGTTATAATAAGCTGCTAACCAAAGCACATCAAGATCGCACAAGATTCTGAAACTGCGGATAATAGGCGCAGCAAGACACTGCCCCTCTACAAGTGGAAACCTGTTCTTTCCTATACCTACTAATGCTCTACTTCTACCCACAGAGCCTCGTGGCCCTCAGCCCTTTCCCTTGGTCACACCAGTGCCGTCACCCTCCTAGCCTTTGGTCACACTGCCGCCTTTGGTCACACTGCCTGTGCTCCCCTTGTTTTCTTTGCTCGCCTTGCTCTTCTGGCTTCCCTTGCTATCCTTGTTCCCCTTGCCCTCTGCCTGCATGCGTCCACTCGAAGCCACCTTTTCAGCAGAAGACCCTTTGCTTCCCTCCGCCTTCCCTTTCGCCTTTGCTTCGCTCGTGCCAATGGTGCCACTACCGCTGCTTCCCTTTGCATTGCTGCTGTCGGTCTTCACCTCATCTCCTTTGCTTGACTTACCTTTCTTGCTGTCACCACTGCTGCCCTTGCTGCTATCGCCATTGCTCTTGATGCCTTTGCTGCTGCTCTTGCCGCTGCTTGTGGTGCCGTTGCTGCTATTGTCTCCCGCATTCTTACCTCCCTTACCTCCCTTACCTTCCTTTCCTCCCGTCGTGCCATTGCTCTCTACTCCCCCCTTGCCCGTCTTGGTGCCATTCCCCTTACTCCCCCCTGAAGCTCCTGATGTGGGAGCCGCGCCCTTGCCAGGCTTCTTTGGACTGCTGCTCCCACTGCTCTCTTTCCCTGCCTTGCCGCTGCTGCTGCTCCCGCCACCCTCTTTCCCTGCCTTGCCACTGCCACTGCCCGTGCCTTTGCCTGTTGCCTCTTCCGTACCAATCACTCCCTTCTTGCCATTACCGGCCTTGGCCTCCTCACTTCCGCTGCCAGCGTCGGCACTGGATTGCGTCTTGTTGTGCTGCCCTTTGCTCTTATGATGCCCCACTCCAGCCGCATGGTGTCCCGGCCTTCTCCCACCCTCAACCCCCTTGGCATTCTCACTAGCAGCACCAGTGCCATCAGCAGCGCTCTTCCCTGTGCTCGTCTTCACCTTGGCATACTTCTTCGGATGGCTCCCACCCGCCTTCCCCCCACTCTCCCCTCCTCCGTCTCCCCCATCACCATCCCCCCCATCCGCCCCATCGCTGTCCGGCTCCACGTGCACGGCGCCGTCCTGTTGGGGCAGCGGCAGGGGGCGGGGCAGGGGGGCGTCCTTGTAGTAGCGCACGGGGCACTTCTGCTTCAGGTGGCACGCTGACTCCGCCTGGTCCGACGCATCAGGGCACAGCGGCTGGCGCTCCTCGTTGCACACGTCACAGTAGTTCCACAGGCAGTACTTGCCGCCGGGGCACAGCACGCGCCCTGTGGCGGCACAGTCGTACCCCGTGCACGTCTCCTCGTCCTCGTCGCTGCCATCGTGGCACTCCTTCACACCGCTGCACCACGCGTCCTCTGATACGCACTGCAGCCCGTCTGCACACTTCCTCCACCCCTCGGGGCACTCGTACGCCACACACATGACTGGATCCTCGTCAGCGCTGACTCCCTCCTCGTCAGCAGCCACGCCCTCCAGCATCATGACCACGTTACCAGCAGCACCGCCTTGCATCACTCCTCCCACACCAGCCATAGTACCATCAGTACCAGGAGTAGCCGTGGGAGCAGTGGTGCGAGGCATAACAGCAGGCTTCAGTGGAGGGACGGCATCAGAGCCGGTCGCAGGGTCGGGGCCAGGAGCGGTGTCAAGGGCGGTGGGCATGCGGCAGTCGGGGAAGCCGTTGCAGAGCGTGCCGGGCACGCAGAGCAGCGAGCCAGGGCACTTGATGAGGCCGGGCGCACACTCGTGGTCCGCACAGAAGGCCCGGTCCTCGTCGCTGCCGCCCGGGCAGTGCGGTGTGCCGTCGCACAGCAGAGAGGCCGAAACACACGCGGGTGCTGAGCCGTCCACTGTTGGACACACCACCTGGTCGCGCGGAGGGGACAGGATGAAATGGTGATGATGGGGAGAGGCGTGTGAATGGGCAGCAAATGCTACTCACATGTTTCACTTGCTTGATCACGTGGCAGCATCCCACATGTCATCATCATCATTCGAAACCAGGGATCCGTAACTCACCCTGTCGGTGTCCGTGCAGTTGTAGCTGCTACAGAAGAGCGCGCCCTCGTCGCTGCCATCACTGCAGTCCTTCCGCCCGTCGCACAGCAGCCCCTCGTACGTGCACTGCTGTCCCCCGGGACACTGCGTCTGAGATTGGGGAGAGCAAAGGGGATCAACAGTTAACCCAACACAGAGTGCTTGCAGCGGGGTCTGGAACTCGATCAGAGCAGCGAGGGGAGCAGCGAGGGGGGCAGCGAGGGGGGCAGCGAGGGGGGCAGCGCACCCGGTAGGAGTTGGAGCAGTTGAATTTGGAGCAGAACTGCGGGAGCTCGTCGCTGCCATCGCGGCAGTCGGGCATGCCGTCGCACAGCTGGTACTCCCACACGCACCCACCCTTCAGAGGGCACGCCACCTGAGTGGGTCACACGTGGATTGGGGAGGTGAAGTGTGCAGGGTTAGCCGGCGGCAGAGAGGTGCGTGGTGCGGGTGCACACACGCTGGCATGCGAGCGGGCATCGGCGGGAGCATGAGCAGGGGGAGCAGGAGCAAGGCAGAGGCTGTGAGGCGTGCGACGGCTCACCCGGCCGGTGGCGGAGCAGTCGAAGGAGTCGTTGCAGGTGGCGGCCGCCTCGTCGCTGCCGTCAGTACAGTCGGCGCGGCCGTTGCACATAGCGTCGGGGAAGATGCACCCCACGCCGCTCGGACACGTGCTCTGGTGGGCGAGAGGGCGAGGTGAGAAGGCTGCGAAAGTTGACTTGCCTTGACTCGCACTGAATTAATTCCTCAGCATGGATGCAGTTGACTCGCGTTGAAACACTTTCCCAGCATGAATGCATTTCATTTGCGTTGACTCACCTTGCCAGCGTCGCTGCAGTTGAAGGTTTTGCAGAAAGCTTCGTCCTCGTCGCTGCCGTCGCTGCAGTCGCTCACTCCGTCGCACGCCTGCCCGAGGAACATGCACCCCGTGCCGGACGGGCACTGTTGCTGTTGTGGGCAGAAGTGGAGCAGGGGAGATTATGGGCGGTTCGCAGACTCAGGGCCGCGTAGAGAGGGGTGCGCGTGGAGGCATGGCGTGACAAGGCTCGATGAGGGCGACAACAAGGAAGGATGAAGGATGGGGAGGGTGGAGGGCGAAGCACTGACCCGGCCGTCCGTGCTGCACTGGTACTGGGCGCAGAAGGCGGGGTGCTCGTCCGTGGCGTTGGGGCACGACGGCTTGCCGTCGCACAGCAGGTACCCCGCCACGCACTGCGCCGCCCCCAGCGGACACCGCTCCTGCCGCGCGGGAGACGAGACGGGGGAGAGGGCGCCGGGAGGACACGGTGAGCGGAGGCGTGATTGATGCAGCAATGCAACCGTGGGGAATGGCAGGGAATGAGCGGTGAAGGGGGGTGGGATATGAACGGAGTGGAGGGACAAGTGATGGTGACCCAAAGTGAACAATGAATCCACAAGTTCGCGCTGCAATGGTTGCCCTCACGGTGCCAATAGAGTAGTTACCTACCGTGCCCATAACGAAGCATGGTCTTCGATGCTTATAACGAAGCGGGTTGCCTACCATGCCAATAGAGGAGCAGTCGAAGGCAGCGCAGGCCTTGGGGTCCTCGTCCGAGCCGTCGCGGCAGTCCTTGGTGCCGTCGCAGCGCGCCGAGTCCAGCACGCACTGCTGCTCGTCCGCGCACTTGGACGACCCCGCGGGGCACTGCGGGCACGCGCGCAGGGCAGGGAGGAAGCGGGGTTTGGAGGGCGGGAGGGGCGCCGCGACGTGGGTGTTTAGAGAGGCGGCCCGGACCGTGCTCCGGCTGGATGATTCGACATCGTCTCGATGGACGCGCAGTGTGCGCCTCACGCTGGTTATCATGCTCGCGCGAGGGGCGTGCTGTTTGTGGGGCGCTGAGAAGGCAACTGCGGAGCTCCCCGCTGTAGAGGGACTGGCAAGTGTGCGGGACGGCTCTAGTGCGGGCTCGTAAGAAAAAGGGTTGTGTCAGGCGTGTGAGAGAGAGAGAGAGAGAGAGAGAGAGAGAGAGAGAGAGAGAGAGAGAGAGAGAGAGAGAGAGAGAGAGAGAGAGAGAGAGAGAGAGAGAGAGAGAGAGAGAGAGAGAGAGAGAGAGAGAGAGAGAGAGAGAGAGAGAGAGAGAGAGAGAGAGAGAGAGAGAGAGAGCCACCAGGCAGCTGGCTGCAGGGGGTACCTAGTAGTCGGCAGGTGGTACCTAGTAGTCGGCAGGTGGTACCTAGTAGTCGGCAGGTGGTACCTGGTAGTCGGCAGGTGGAACCTGGTAGTCGGCAGGTGGTACCTGGTAGTCGGCAGGTGGTACCTGGTAGTCGGCAGGTGGTACCTGGTAGTCGGCAGGTGGTACCTGGTAGTCGGCAGGTGGTACCTGGTAGTCGGCAGGTGGTACCTGGTAGTCGGCAGGTGGTACCTGGTAGTCGGCAGGTGGCACCTGGTAGTCGGCAGGTGGCACCTGGTAGTCGGCAGGTGGCACCTGGTAGTCGGCAGGTGGTACCAGTGGTAGTCGGCAGGTGGTACCAGTGGTAGTCGGCAGGTGGTACCTGGTAGTCGGCAGGTGGTACCTGGTAGTCGGCAGGTGGTACCTGGTAGTCGGCAGGTGGTACC